GTGGGCGCCCCTCGGCCCCGCCGGGAAGCCGTTCCCCCCCCGCCCCGCCCTTGGGTGCCGACCCGTCTTCGGGGAGATCCGGGACCCTTTGGGGACCTTTCCCCGTAGGTCATCCCCCCTCGGTTCGTGCCAACGGGTTCCTCCGAGCTTATGGAGGGCCTGGCTCCAATCGCCCCCCGGCCCCAGCTGCTGGTCCCCTCCCCCATTTCCGAAAACCCCGGGGGGATTGGCTGGGTCAAGACCCCGCACCCGCCCAAGGAGGGAATTCTGGCCGAAATTTGGCCGAAATTTGGCCGAGACCCCAAAGTAGTGGGTCAAGGGCCTGCCCCCGCCCAAGGGCCGGTTGCCCCCCAAGCCCACCGGTTTCCCCCCCCCCCCCCCCCCCTCCCCCCTCCCCCCCGGCAGGAGAGCTACGCCTCGTGCTACGACTACCCCGGCCTCCTCGGCCGCCGGACCGTCCTCGCGCATGGCGTCTACCTCGGCGAGCGAGACGCACCCCCGAGACGCTTCCGAGACGCTTCCGAGACCCTTCCACAGAGGCACTCTCAAAGACACTACTTAGGCGAGCCAAACACCCCTCCTCTGCCGAGCCGGGCCGAGGGCTCGAGAGCCGCGACAAGCCCGTCGAGTGACCGTGCACCTCGCCCCACCGAGAGACCCCGCGCCCACCCCCCTTGCCGGCAGGCGAGAGCGAGCGAGCCCTCCTCAAGAGCCGCGGCGCGAGCGTCTCCCACTGCCCCCTCTCGAACATGATGCTGCGCTCCGGGATGCTCAACGTGCGCCGCCTGCTCGACGAAGGCGTCACCGTCAGCCTCGGCACAGACGTGTCTGGCGGCGCGTCGCCCTCGATGCTGCAGTCGATCCGCGAGGCGCACGAAAGCCTCCGCCCTCGCCCCCTCCGCCCTCCCCCCTCCGCCCTCCGCCTTCCCCCTTCCCCGCCGCAGGGAAGACCCCGCCGGCCCCTGCGGCTCTCTCAGCCCCGCCCCCCGCCCTCCCGCCCCCCCCCCCCCCCCTGCCCGGCAGGCGCTCAAGGTATCGAACCTCGTCTCGCTTGCGGAGGGTCGCCCCGGCGGCGGCATGTGGGAGCCGCTTTCCTTCACCGAGGCCCCCGTCACCGCCTAGACACTTCCTAGACACTTCCTAGACACTTCCTGAAGCTCTCCTTCACCGAGGCCCCCGTCGCCGCGCGGCTCACACTTGCTCGTGCACGGGTCCGAGACCTGGGGCTGTGACTGGGCGGTAGGCCTTCCATCTCGCCACCGCGGCGGGCGCGCGCTCGCTCGGCGTCGACGGGCTGACGGGCGACTTCAGCACCGGCTCGCTCCGCAGCGCGGCGGCGGCGGACCCGGCCGCGACCACCTGCCCCTGACGGCGCTCCCTGGACCCGGTGTCGGCAGGCTCGCTCTTCGACGCTGTGGTGGTCGACCCCGAGGCGCCAGCGTCGCCCTTCGAGCTGTACGAGGGCGACGGGGCGCTCGCCTCGTTTGAAAAGTGCGGCCGCCTCCCCGGACGGCCGGAGCGCGGCGGCGCGCGGCGAGCCTCTCCCCCGCATCCCTCGCGCTGCAGGTGGATGCAGCTCGGCGACGACCGAAACACGGCCGAGGTGTACGTGCAGGGGTCGCGCGTGTTCGCCCTCAAAGAGGGGCTCTGGACGTCGCGGTGACGAGGGAGCAGCGTAGAGGTAGAAGGCTTGGCGGCGAGAGCTACGAGAGCGACGCTCTGCTACTGTTGAGACGCATGTGGTTGTATGGCGGCAGGGGTGGGGCGCTCGCGGGCCGGGATGATCCGTGACGCCGCGGCTGGAGAGAGTGAGCCCCCCGCGGAGCCGGCCGCTTGGCGCTCCACCCCGCCGTTGGAGAGATGAGAGAGCGAGAGAGAGACGAGCGAAGAGAGATGTGACACTCAGAAGTCTCTGTGACTGTGTGCACGTGGACCTGGAGTTGATGTGTCTGCATGGACGGAGGGAGAGAGAGGTCGTGTTGACTTATTTGTGTGGTCTGCTCGCACACCGGCGACCGGCCGCGCGCATGTATTTATTTGTAATTGTATTTATTTTGAATACGCTCGTCGATCTGTCTCGTCTCTAAATACCGTATTACTAATAGAGTCAAGAATACAGACTGATTACAGACCGTATTGTGCAGACCGCGTTACACTCGCCGTACTCGCGCTGGGCCGCTGCCACCGGCTGCCGCTGGGGAGGAGCAGGCGCGATTGGACCTGGGAAGGAGGTGAGCTGGGATCCTGGGAAGAGATCACGGCTCTGCTCTGAATGAGTGGACTCGCTCCTTCTCACGGGGATTCTCTTTGTCCGCGGCTTGCGCTCTTCAGTCTTCTTGTCGCGTACCCCCCATCTAGCGAGTTCAATGATCAATCTACCGGCCCCCGGCGAGCTACTCTCGCGTACGGAGTCGGACGAAGGGGCTACTCCGCTCTCCGCGTGCACTGGTGTGGTCGTTGGAGTCGGAAATTAACCCCTAAACTCGGCTTAACGGGGTGCCCGGAAGGGCGATCTCACGGCGGCCTAACTGTGCCTCCGTGCGCTCGCCACATACCCCCTGCTGCCCGAGGGTCGTATATTAGCACTTTATTGGGTACATAGAGGGGTTGGTGGGAAGCCACCACGTCCCTTCAAATTTTCCGCCACAGAGCTCGGGAGCGCGCTCTACACGAGCTCCTGGGACGCGGTTTCGATCCCAGACGGTCGTCGCACGTCGGCGCCCCAGTGAGGTCCGCCGTCATAGCTGTAGCACGCTACTAGACACACTGCCTCCAAGTTGAGCGGTGGAAAATTGCGACCACCCCGAAGCCACGCACCAAGCAGGGTTGCGCCTCTGTTTGCCGCCGCTAAGAGATCGGTGTTGCGGGAATCCAGGGAATCTAAAGGAATCTAGAATCTGTGGGTCCGAGATTCGATCTGGGACCTGAGCCGCTCGGGACCAACTGCACATGACCCGGGGCCACTGCCATGTCGCAGACGACTGCCGCGACCTGCCGTCCCGGGTCCCGCAAAGGAAATAGAATAAATCGGCGAAGTCTCCGCAGCCGTGACAGTTGTTGACTGACTTGTGAACTGCGATTACAGACTCTACCGTCTACGTTCGCAAACGGAGACATGCACATGGCTATATATCAATATGGCTTCAACGTTCAAGCAAGAGAGCAACACATCTATCTCACAACCGCACATACACATACTTGCCGTAGGCGGGCCCCTCTCAGCCCATCTCTGCCGAGTCGCCACCAACTCCACCGTTGTATGCGGCGCACTTGGAGAAGATCTCGTACGTCTGCACCGAGCCCGTCGCGGCCTGGTCTATCGCCCACACCTCGGTGGGCCCGACGCCGCGCACGCCGTGGACATCCGATGAGCCGACGGGGACACGGCGGGCCTCAGTGAGGAGGAAGGCGTCGTTGCCATACGCCGGATCAATGCAGTCCGTGAGCGATAGCTTGAAGAGGCCGGCCGTCGCGTTGGGATTAAAATTCTCCGGCTTGACGGCCGATACGGGCGAGGGGCCGCGAGCCGCCATGTAAAGCGCCGAGTCGTAGGCGCGGTAGTAGATCGTGTCGGGCATCAGCATCTTCATTCGCTCGTCACCGGACATGAAGCGGTCGTTGAGGTTGTAGCTGTCCACGACCAACTCTCCGGTCTGGTAGTCGAGCACGTCGAGCGTCGCCGAGACGCGGTTGGTGTTGAGGAGGAAGAACTTTCCCGTCGAATTCGCCTTGCAGAAGGCGATGCCGTGCGCGTCGTTCGCGGCGGCGGGCAGATTATAGGTCTTGGTTATTTGCTTCTCCTTTAGGTTGATCTGGTAGAGGCACTGCTTGTCGCCCTGTGTGCCGTACTGCGCGATCAGCACCTACTCACAGCGGGGGGCTGTGAAGAGAGACTGCTCACACAGACGCGCCGAGGAACTCGTACCACGAGCGTGCCTCCTCGTCTTCCGGGTGGTGCTCCGTCCACAGCCCGCCGCCCTCGCATGCGCCAAACGCCTCCAGAGGAAGGTCGGCCACGACGGCCATGTCGCCGGTGACATCAACGATGGAGCCGGCCCCCTTCGCGTCGGTGACAAAGTAGAGGCTGCGATACGCGCCGATGGGGTTTGTGCCGATCGCGATGGGCTTCGTGCCGACTGTTCCGCGGCCCACCGCGCTCGGACCGATGGCGAGCGAGGCCTCATGGGTCAACCCATCGTCCGCACCGTTGTTCGTGCATCGGCACGACCCCCTCTCCTCGATTCTCGTGAAATTTATGAAGAACTTGTGCAGCGCGCCGCCCTGCACGCCGTAAAGGGACCCCGTCATGTCCACCATCACAAAGTGGTCATCGCCGTACCACGCGCCCGTGTGGATCAACCCGCCCTCGAGACCCGGCACCAAGCGCGCGTCGATGCACGCTACCATCTGCTTCGCCTCGGCCGAAAGGATGTGGACGAACTGGTCCGACGTGTAGCTGACCGCGACGTACTTGTGGTTCGGCGAGGGCAAGACCATGTGCGGCTTGTGGCGTGGCGTGAACCTGCGAGAGGCTTGGTGTCACGGCTGCCACTACCGAGGCGGTGTTTGGGGTGTGGGAGGGCGGGGCGTGACCCGGACGCGACGGCGGCGTCGCCGAGATCGATGATCGCTGACCATCGCCACACCCCGCCGGCGGTGTCGTGCACGTACAGCGTGCCGCCCGCACGCTCGGCTGTCGTCGTGTTGCTTGCCACCTGGCTCGCGCAGCCGAGGCGGAGAAAGCCGTCGGCAGCCGTGCACGTGCCATTGTCTCGCGAGGGCGGCGGAGGGGCAGGCAGCGGCGTTGCGTCGCGCGCCACGCACGACATCTCGGTGCCCACGAGCTTGTAGTCGTGCGTCGACCAGTCGCACAAGGGCTCGCGCGAGAGGCAAGGGGACTGTGGCGACGGCGGCGGCGGCGGTGACGGCGGCGGCGGTGGTGACGGCGGCGGCGGCGGTGACGGCGGCGGCGGCGGTGACGGCGGCGGCGGCGGTGACGGCGGCGGCGACGGCGACGGCGGCGGCGGTGGTGATGGTGGCGGCGGCGGCGACGGCAGCGGCGAGGTTTGCGGCGGAGGCGGCGACTGGAAGGGGTGGCAGGCGCCACACTCTTCCGGAAATTCATCTGCCACCTTTTCGCAAGCCTCCACCTCTGTCCGACCGGTGTTGCTCTTCACCCAGTTCATGCGAGACTCGCACGATGAGAAGCCCTTGTAGTTGGCGGTCAGATCTCGGGCGAGCGTTTCGAGGACGGCGTCGGTGCAGCTGTCCACGCCACACCGAGCAGCCAGGACGTAGGGCAGTGAGACGAGAAGCACGACGCTTCCCATGGCTGTCGGCTGTGCTCCCTCAGAGGAGCGGCCAGGACTCCGATCTCGGGGGCGGCGAGGGCGTTCACCAAAGCCCACTACCGACATGGCAGTGCGACGGCGCTTTCACAGCCTTGTTATGAGAAGAAAATAGGTCGTATGCGCTGGTCTGTGAGAGGTTGAGGTGCGAGCCCTGGAGGCCCTGGGGATGGGGGGAGACTACCCGCGGGCCTAGAAGGCCCGCGCGCAGGGGGGTGGGGCATTGAGACCGGTCATGAATGAGTGCGCGACACAGGCGCGACACGCATGTTGCGAGCAGCGTTGTTGATGTTCTGCGCGTCGCCACAGACGGCGGCGCGCGAGAGCTGTTGCGAGTGGTGCTGGACGAAGCCCCGGGCGCTGCCGGAGGCTGTGCCGTCCCGTAGTCGGTGCGGTCGACGGCGCTCGGGCTGCCGACCTCTTTGGCGAAGTTGTGGATGATTCTCTTGGTTGGCGGCGCGATGCCGCCCTGGCTTTCGACGAGACAAATTTTGACGATTCCGTTCTTGACATGGAGCGCGTCGTAGTACTGTCCCTTGTGCTCCTTGACCCAGCCTTTGCCGGTCGCATGGACGAGCGGGCCCTGTGACTTGTGGCCGCGCTCACAGGATTACAATGACAAGCCTCGCAAGGGAATGGGGGGAGACTACCCGCGGGCCTAGAAGGCCCGCGCGCAGGGGGGTGGGACATTGAGACCGGTCATGAACGAGTGCGCGACACTAGGGTGCCCACAGCCAAAAGAAAATAGCTTTCGGGCTCAAAAAGGGACGCACGAGGCAAATCTGATGTTGGAATGTTTCAATAGGAGAGAGGCCTCTTCCGTTGGGGGACCGAGTGACTAGGAAACGAGGGTTCCCCATTGTGACCCGCTCCAGCGCGAGCGTGACACTGCACTTGGCATCGAGCGCCCGCGGCTCAGACCTTGTGCAGGCCTCCCCTCGGTGAGCACGCCGGTCCGGACCGATGGCGCTCGGTGTGGAGCAAGCAAGACACACCCACCCCCCATCGGCGCGCGCCCGAGCTTTGAATGGCCGCCAGGAGCACCAAGAGGACTGCTCATGGCTGTGCTCAAGTGGGCTTCGACCGGCCTCGGCTGGGGGCGGGTTGTCCCGGCTGCGGACGCCTTCTGCAGCCCCCTGGGATGGGATGGGGACAGCACCCCAAAACTGCCCCTCGGCGGCATACAGCACTGCCAGCCAGCCTCTTCCTCCTCCTCAAGGGCTGTACTATAGGCCATATTGCGCCCCCACCTACTGGCAGCCGGGCGGGCGGGCGCCGCGCGCGCCTCGGCGCGCGCACGGCTCGCAAAATTCGAACGAGTAGTGCCGCCCGGCCGCCTCAAGGCTGCCGGGCGGCAGTACTCGCCTCGCAAGGCGCGCACCGGCTGCTCTGGCTGCTGCGCCGGCGGCCGCTGCGCTGGCCGCTGCTGCGCTGGCCGGCGAGCGGTACGACCGCCGGCGGCCGCTGCACCCGCGCCTTCCCTCGCGGGCGCCGTCGCGCCGCGCGCGCCCAACTCTGCTGGCACACGGCACGCGTCGTCACTCAGCCGCAGAGAACAGGCGGTGCAGCGCGCGAAGCGCGCGCGATCTCGTACTTTCAAGGCTGGATCCGGCCATTCCAAGCACCAAGGGTATACCTTTGAGAATCCCCCGCGTCCCACCCTCCTAGTCACACTCTCAATTTCTCTGCCATTGCTTCTTGTTTCTCGGAAGTTGGATTCGCACACATCGCTTTCCCAATCCAGCTTGGGCCCACCGCCTCCGAGGAAGGTCGAGGCCTCTGGTGGCCAACGCGTCTGCTCTGTGTGGCATTTGAAGACCGTCATCAGTGCTTGCGACACGCTGTTGTTGATGAAAGCCGGCCAATCCTCATCATCGGGTCTACTAAGGCAATCAAAGTCGTCCGTGTCGTCAGACTCCATCCAGTCCTGGATGAACTTCCTATCGGCTGCCCTGGCGAGGGCGACAGCGGAGGGCGACAGCGGAGGCGGTGGCAATGGGGGTGGGCATGACGCCTCGGAGAGTCGCCGGCGCTCCTCCTCGGCGGCGGGGTCGGCGACGCGCTCGATGGAAGAGGCATCGACAACATCCGTGGCCTTTGAGCCCTCGACCGACGCGCGGTCGTCCCTCGCGGCGTTGAAGCGCGAGAAGGCGAACTCGGTCGCGAAGGCGATGCGCACCTCGTAGTCTGATGCCGTGCCGTCAATGGCGCCCTCAGCTTGGGCGGTGGTGGTAAATCCCCAGCAAAAGGGTAAACATCTTGCTTGCCGTTGCGCACCAGCCCGGGCGTGGCGAACGACTGGCCGATGAGGCCATGTGGCTTGTCGCGGGCCGGAGCGTCGCCGCGCGCCGTGAAGCCGACGTCAATGCGGTGCGCCGGGCCCTTGATGAGGCAGTCGTTGACGTCCGACTGTACTTTGATCGTCCCGTGGTTGTTGACTTCATCGCAAGACGGCACCCCCTTCACCGTGACCGTCCAGTTGCCGAGCTCAAAGGTGGCGCTCGAGTACTCCATCGCCATCTTGAGGCCGAAGCAGTCCTTCTTGCCGCGATTGCCAAAGCGGAAGGGTCGGCCGACGCAGGTCCCATTGACCACGCGCCAGCCAAAGTTGTTGGGGTCGAGTTCGGACGCCCAGAACGAGGCGGTGGCGCGCTTCTGTGGGGATAGCTGCGAGGTGATGTGCGCCTCGGTGATGAAGGTGCCGTTGACTGTGAGCACACCGTGATGCGCGATGAAGACCGCCTCCTCCGTCTTGACGTTGACCGACAGGCCGGGCGCGGAGAGGAAGTTGTACAGCGCGTTGTGGCGGCCGCGAAAGTCGGCACGACCGCCGTGGGCAAAGTTGATGATCGGGTCACGGAAGACCTTCGCTGTGCCGCACTGGCTCAGGGGTGCGATAGAAACAGGCAACATCGTTGGCACGTAATTTTTGCCAAAGGCAATTTGGACATTGAAAAGCTCATCGAACCCAAGCCTGTCGCCTGTACGTAAAAGGTGTGTACGAAAAAGAGGGAAAACGAAGGAATGAATGAAAACGGGAGAAGGCGGGAATGAAACTGGATCATTGGAGAAAATGGGTGTTGGAGCTTTTTTTGCAAACGAACGAGGGACCACCTTTGTCCTTTCCCGCCCAAAACGACACTTATACAAACGGTCAGTATGGACCGCCTTGCCCCAACGTGTGAGCCACGTGGACGCGTGAGCCGCGTCGGCGTGAGCCGCCCTGTTTCGGGCATACAAGGCCCCTCTCACAGCAGACTGATAAGAAACAAGAAGCCTCGCAGACAGTGAGGGTGTGAGAGGCGGACCTAAGGAAGGTCCTACATCTACAAAAGCACACACCTTTGAAGTCCAAAGCAATGAGCCGCGCGCAGCGCTCAAAATCCGAATGATCTCAAGCGTAGAGGGGAGGGCGGGGGTTCGGGTCGGGGGGCGTTCTTGAGCTCGTGCCACTGCCGTATTGCTAGGTGGGGAGCCGCGCGCGGAACAAAAATACGCACCCCTGCTGGGCGCGTCCGCTCCCCCTCCGGAGCCTTTGTCCACTAAGGGGGAGAGGACCTCTCCGGGTCGGCTACAGCTCTTCTGGGTGGTGACGCCTACCTACCACTTCGAACACTACTCCTCCGACTCCCAAACGTGGGTTGGGGAGGTCGAGCTGCAGATGTCAATTAGCCCGCTCCGGTGTGAACAAAAAAATTGTGGGGTCAAGCTGCCGATTTCGAACCGGGGGCCACACGTGACACGATGGAAGAGAGGTCCCCTCCCGAACGAACGAACGAAGTCGGCAGAGTGGATGTTGGCCGAAGCGGAAGCGTGCACACGAGGGTCCCGCATTCGCCACCGCCGCTCCTCCTCCTGTGCCTAGCGGCGCTCGCGCGCGATGAACTTGCGGCGGCTGCGGAGATGCCCGGAGGAGACGGCCGACATGACCGGCGGAGGACCCGCTCGCTAGGCGCGGGGATCGCGTTCGCGAGTGCGAGACGGGCTGCTTTGTGGGGCCGTCTCCTTTTAAGTACAGTGGCCAGGGGCGGGGCTTGCATTTTTGCCGTCGCCAGTCGCCCTACTCTTAGAGAGAGAAATGAGCAAGAGTGCCTTAGTCCCCCGGCCAAGCAAAAGGATGTCGCAAACCGGAAGCTCCGACGGAGTTCCTTCTATTACGCGTACCATGCTACGACCGCGTACGGAGCCGAGGCGGTTGGCGCCAGGCGCGTCCGTGCCCCACCCTCGACGCCCGCGCGCCCGCCCGCGCGTCCGCCTCCCTCCGGCCCCGGCCCGCCCCTCTCGCTCCTGCGGTCTCCCGCACCACACCGCCAGCGCGCAAGGATCGTCTGAGGGATGGTCCGCACCTCCCTCAAATGGCGCCTTGCCGTAACAATGGCAATATGGTGTGCGTGCGCACGACCACGGACAAGATCGTTCGTGCCCGCTCGCGCCCGCCCGCCTTCCGGCCCGCCCTGCGACGCCCACTTCCCAAACAGCTTCCCGTTCGTTACCGTCACCGACTGCCTGTGTTGCAGGTCGATCAGGACATCCCCACCCCGTTCCCCGGAACGGCCGGACGTTAAGGAGGAGAGTACAGCCTAGCCGACGAGCTCGTCGCGCGCGTGTGCGCACACTAGGCAGCGACCGCTGGTGCGTGCCCCACCCTATGCGCGCCGCATGCGCCCCGCCCCGCCCTGACCCTACCCACCGTCAACGACGTGACACTGCTGCGAACCCGGGGATTTGAACCCGGCGATTCCACAGTTGAAGGTCTACCACCGCGCGGTGCCCTGCCCCGCCCCGCCCCGCCTGCCCTGCCCGGTCCTGCCCGGCACATCCGCTCACTTCACCTTGCCTCGCACTCAACAGGCCTGTGAAGCCAGCAGCTCTGCCAGCGCGTTCGCTCCTTGCTGCTGCCGCAGAGCGGAGGCGCGTACGTCGCCTCGCTACTCTCGCGGCGAAGCAGCTGCCGCCGCCGAGACGCGAAGCGGCGTCTGCTGAGGAGAGAGAGCCAGCGCGGCGGTCGCCGACGCCGCCTTCGAGCTGTGTGCCACCTCTCGCCGGCAGGACAGCTCTGCGCGGCAGCGGACATCAGCAGCAGCCGCCACACCGCCACCCGCCGAGCACGCCGTCGCTGCCGTGGCACCGAGGGCCGGAGCCCGACTCTCGTACAGTCGAGCGGCTCCAAGGCCAAGCGCTGACACACACAGGGCATGCCGCGCAAGGAGAGCGCGCCTCGAGGGCAGCAACTGCGCGTGCGTGCCGCGCGGTCCTTTGTGGCGCGAATGTACTGTGCATCGGTAGACCTCGTGCGCGCGTGTACGTCTTGTCGTCGCGGATGTCACAGAGTGTGTATTGCTACAGTACTCTACGTCGAGTAGTAATGAAGACTCTACACACACGCGCGCACACGCGCTCAAAACTCCAACGCGACGGTAAACCAGTGGTTGTCCTGGCCGACGCTGCTCGACATGCCGGTGTTCACGATGTAGACCGACGGGCTGGCTCCGGCGCCTCCACCGCGGCGTTCCAACACGCCTGCGAGGAGGCCATCTAGCGAGACGACGGCCACGTCCCTCTCCACGCGGCACTTAAGGGCCCCCATCGCATCGCGCACATCCCCGCTCCCGCCGGCCTCGGATAACGCAAACCGAGCGAAATAACGCTTCCCGACGAGCTGGATCACCTGCTCGGTCTCGATCACGGTCGACGATCCCAGCGATCCCAGCCCGAGGGCGCGCCGCGCTGCGGCGATATGGTCGCGGTGGATGCACTCGTCCAGATTGATGGTGAACCACTGACCGACCGCAGCAAGCAGCAAGTTTACCGCAGCACACGCCACGATGCCGCACGAGTCGCCAACCTGCCAGCCGCGGCTGCCCAAGCTTTCCAACTCGGCGCGATCCGTCTGCGAGACGATCCAGCCGAGGCGCTCGAGC